TTCTTCTTCTTCTTCTTCTTCTTCTTCTTCTTCTTCTTCTTCTTCTTCTTCTGTTCACGACCTCTTCAATTGGTCTTCGAATATGATGAATATGCCAATCCCCCTCTGCCCAACTGCACCTAAACGATGCTCAATGCCTATGGGTATACCTAGTCCAAGTGCTACCCTTAACTTCATGGAACAGTTGGTCTCTCTGGCTCGTAAACCAAGCTAATGGAGACTGGCTCGGACACTTCAAAGTTTTAAGAAGATTGCTCAAAGATTAGCCTTTTATAACTCTTCAACCTCTCGACACATATGACCAAGAAAATGATATGAGATACATATTAGCTCGGGTTAAAACCGGTTGTACTAGGTCGGGTACATGGCCAAGATGAGGTCAGTAACAACAATAATTAGATTAGATATACTTATGATGGACCTACGTGTAACGGGCTCACATATGATGTACCTACTTATGATGAACCCACATGTGATGGACCTATATATGATGGATCTACTTATGATGGACCTATGTGTAGTGGGCCACATGTGATGGACCTACTTATGATATATCTACATGCAAGCCACCTATTTATGATGGGCCTACACATGATGGACCAACCTATGGACTTACTTGGGATGAACCTACCTTTGATGAACCAACTTGTGATGGACCAACCATTGAGGGACATATCTATGGTTTTATTGATGATAGATCTATCTGTGAACCTGTGAAGGAAGCAACCGAGGGACCTCTTAGGACATAGGACATATGGGATTAAATATAAATGAAGAATGAAACGGAGCTTCGAAAGAGGTCTATATGAGTCTGTGTTACAATGGACACATGTCAAGAAGGCGCAGATTTTTTGAAACTTTTAGCCGAGTAGGGAATAAATCACAACCTCGGGTCATGTCTCTTGAGGAAAGTTGTTCGACCACGAACTAAGACGAGTGACTCACACAAGAAAGAAAAATAAAGGTCCTAAACACTATACTCGCAATTTGAGGTTTGGATTAAGCTAAAGAACACAACTTTGAACTAAAACAAAAGCAAAATTCAAACTTGAAAGCAATCAAGTCCTCAAATGGCAAGAAATATGGAAAAATAGAGAAAAATAGCAAGGTACCCTAAGACCCGAAATAAAAATAAGACACTCATATGTTCGGGAACATGTAATCAAACAATCGTCACTCGCGAATCAACCAGTCAAGCCCTCAATCAATGATCGCTCACGCAATCAACAACAAGTTACTCGCGCATAAACTAATCGAGCATTCAATTAATTCTTCCTCACATAATCAACAACAAAATCAGATAAACCCTAGCCTATAAGTAAAGACAAGAAAAACTTACAAGATTTTGGACCTTAAACAAAGTCTCCAAGTCTCTAGTGCATCTACGAAAAAAAAATAAGCCGAAAAGTTACAATTTTGATGGAGAAATATTACAATATAAATTGAGACTTGGAGCTCTTAAAGAAAGAAAGAAAATGTAGAGAGAGAGGGTGGGAGAAAAACTAAGAATAAAAATCTTGCAAATGATGAATTGATGCCCAAAACACAATGGGTTCAGCCTATTTATAGTTACCCTTCAAACACACACATTTAATGGACAACAGTCGCGGGGTCACGAAACAGGACATTGGTCGTGAATGCTGGCCTGGGCAGCTAGGAAACTCGCAAGGTCGAGAGAAATGCCTCACTGGGCGAGCGCTGGCGCGGGGTGCGCGGGTCGCAGGCGCACAGACGAGAGAGGATGCGCGGGCCCGTGGATGCGGGGGCGCATAGTCGTGCAGCGTGCGGGCACGAGCGCGGACGTGCACGAGAAATGACTAGGTCACGAGGTCTCCTAGGCGTGGGTTGCAGCAGGGCTCGAGACCACCGGGTGCTAACCGGGTCGATTGGTCGGGAACTCTCCGGCCACTTTTCTGATGATTTTTTGGTAATTTTTCGGCGACTCTCTGGAACACAAATTTTCTACAAAATAAAAGATAAAAAGAAAAATAAAAAGCACAAGATACCAAAACAACATGAAAACACAAAAACGACTAAATGAACAGAGAAAACCTAAAATAAAGCAAAACGAACACAAATAAAACATTTAAAAAACACATAAAATAACAACAAATACATACACAATAAAATATTCTGGGCCATGAAAATAATGGTTGGGTAGTCGAGCAGGACAAGGCTTGCCCAACAAGCTTTGTATTTCTATAAAAAGCAAATTAATATTTTACAACACATTTAGATTCTTGTAAGTTTTACACACTTTCATTTTCATCTTCTTAAAACTTTTACTGACTTGAGCGTCGGAGGTTTTACGCTAGAATTATTTCCTTGCATCTTGCAGGTCACCAAGGAGTTTCACGGCAATTGAGCTAGAGGAGGACGGGTTCGGGTGCGAAGTGCTTATCAGAAAATATAGTTGAACTAGTCATTACGGACAAAAATGATTAAATGTAAAAGATGGAATCCGGGCCTTCCTATGGAAGGCCCTCTTGATTTTCGTTACACATGATAAATCATTGGGCCAGTCTACTAAGGCAGGCTAACATTAGCTGATAATGGGCTTGCTCACTCAAAAACGATTCTGCCCAATCCAGTGATGCAGGTCTTTATTTGTTAGAAATCCCGAGAGTGGTCTGGGGGAATTAAAAGTAAAATTCAATCACTTCTATTCACCTAATTAATTAAAAGTGAGAATTATTATTATTTTGACAAAACAAACCGTATGAAATGCTCTTATAATTTCTATAATACCTATGAATCAAGTGGGTATTTATAATTGTGAGCAGGTATTAGCAAGGATTGTGTATGAAAACGGGATGCACTCGAACGCATCCGAACACAATCTAGCGCGCTTGCTCGCTCGCGAGTCTTTGCAACATTGAAATATCAATAGCTCAACTTTACTAGCATTTTGTAAGAAGATTTATCTGATTCAAACATATATCGCTGCAACGGAATGATCGGGATTAAAAATGGTGCAATTTAATTTTGTCCATCCCATAATTTTAATAGCAATTTAATATCAAAACACCGTTCGATTGAAGAATAGAAACGATTCTGGAAAGATGAAACAAGTTGTACCATTAATAATGTGTTTGGTATGTGAAAAGAATATGACTGAACGGAATGATATTATAGTCATATATTATAATTTATCACGATTTTATCAAATAATGCTTTTGTTTTTATTTATGAAAATATCAAAATGATTTTTATTTTTATAAAAATATACTATGTTTTTTTAACATTTGTTTATATTGTTATAGTTTATACATAAGTAAATTATTTATTTATATGTGTTAATTAATATAAATATATCACACCATAAACTCCTACAAGCATATGTGGTAGTATAGTATATAATTATTTATAATTTCATTCAATTTATGAATAAATAGTATATATGATTATACGAAAAAAAATAAGATCTTTCTGAGCTATTAAAAAATGCATTTTGTTTAAGTTTTTTATTTTGATATAAGTATTTAATATATCTAAGTAATAATAATAAATAAAAATAAAATTATTTTAGTTATTTATATGAAATTTATTTCTTAAAATATTTTTTTCTAATATAACTGAATCATGACTCAAAATATATAATATATATTTATTTCTCATCGTTGTTTGTTTGTTTAATTTATATTTTAAAAAATTGTATCTTAAATATGTGAGAACGAGAAAACCATGCATCAACCACGGAACGACTCACACCACAGACATAGGTTTTGCAATTCTCATTGGAATGATCATTCATTTCTTAAAAATTATACAAATTAATCGTAACATTAGAAATGACTTAGAAAATAATCATTCCATTTTAATATCATTCCACTATACCAATCATGCAGAGTATACTATATATGCAACCACCACATAAAACCATTGCAAAAAAAACACAACTAATATTCATTAATTAATATGCTTCAACCCTTGACATGGTTATTAATACTCCACACCACATGTACTAAACAACAAGAGAACATCCACTAAACAAGCCAAGCTGATTGCATGCACATGCATTACCCAGAAACCATAATCATCAGGTAACTGTAACAGATCTAATAATACTGCAGTATAGTCATACTAGATAGATAAATATAAGGAAAACATAGCCAACAAAAAAACATAGCACTAGTTTCACAGACGAAGAGAGGTGTCGACATCATAACCCGAATTCTCCATCTTCACCTGCGAAGTACAAACAAACGGCCCGTCAGTAGAACGGCGCGACTTTGATGGGGGGCCTGCAATCGCGCCCCGACTATCCGTAGAAGAATCCGGCCAGAGGGATAGAGAAAGCTGGCAATTAGGTCTAGGAGGACTACAAAAAACCTCCGAGCGCAATCTTTTTTCCGAATGCACAATCTCGGGATGATGATCACAACAATCGCACGTGGGTGGAGAAGAAGAAGAAGAAGCAACGTTAACGTTAACGTACTTTCTCGATGATTCGGACAACATTCTGAGGAGCTCCTTCTCCTGTCTTAGCTCCTTCATTTTCTCCAACTGCCTGAACCTCTCCTGGAGTAGTGCCAACAAGGCATTAGTCGTCGCACCGCTAACGCCGTGATGATCATCGGCCATTTTATTCGAATATTCATTGTGCATGGCTCGAATATAATGTGCGTATATATATAGAGCGTGCCCGTGCACACGGTAAGTGTAGGTTAGTTTAACATTTTTTTTATCTTTACTTTCTTTTTCCTTTGATTAATTTTGCTTTTGTTTTTTTCGAGGAAAAGAAGAAGGGGAGAATCAGATCCAAAGAGGAAAAGGACGATAAACCCAATATATTGCAGAGGGTTTTTGTGGGGGTAAAATGAGTAGCACATGTTGGGGTGGTGTGTAAGTGTTTGGAGGAATAATAGATTAAAGGGTGATGCTCGGTATAATGCTCCAAAAAGGCCACGCTTTTAGGTTTGAAACAAATCAATATATAATGGGTGGTGCGGCCTCTTTTGGTGGGTGCACATCAACTTTACTTGTGTTTTCAAAAAAAACAATCATGTTTGGCCCCTTTTAAATAGGGAGATGCTACGATTCCGTTACGGAACCATTTCGTCAGAACTTGTAACCGTTAGATCAATTATTCCGGACGGCAACATGGTGATCTAACAGTTACAAATTTGACAGAATAGTTCCGTAACGTGACCGTAGCATTTTCGCTTAATTTATATTCTCCTCTTTCAAAAGATTTTCATTTTGTGCATTTTTTCTATTTTTCTAATGTTATTTATTTGATTACATAACTACTTTTTTGGTTATTTGAGCAAAGACCAAGTACTTGCGTTTGAAACAAGATATGTGTGGCAAGCCCGATTTAGCAAGTACAAATAAGTCAAATTGCATTTTTCACCTAAAATTAAAAGGAAAAGGGGGGAAAAATGACGTTTTTAGAAAAATTTTTATAGATTCGATATTGTAGGTGGATTATAGTTATTATTAAAATATAATATCACGTGTGAGTTGTTCCACATTATTTATACGTGAAAAATAAGTATACTTAGATCATCCACAATGCTTTGGGTTCATTCAATAAAATTCATAAGCCATCTAGAAAATAGGTCTCTACTTAGACTTAAGTCCTAAATGACATGGACAAACCCAAGTAAAAAAAACTCGAAAGTCACTTAGCTTCTTTAATAGGGCTTGCCAAAGAACCCCTCCGGGGCCCCGGGAAGAGGAAGAAGGAGATATAGAGCAAAGGGAGATCCGAAGCCCAACTAACAAAGTTAGGGGTGACCTAACTGAAACTGAAAAAATTGACAGGGGAAGCAAAAGTTATTCAATACAAAAATAAAATACTAGGTCTAACATACATGTCAACCAATAAAAATACTCTAATATGTTTCATTTATTAAAAGAAAATTTCAATGAGGAATAAATGATGAGTGTTTGGGTTTGTACTTGAGTCCAAAATATACTTGGGTCCAATTTTTCGGTCAAAATCGTAGATCTTCTCCGGTGTTCTTTCTCAAATTCCTGGTGACTTGCTTTGACCCATGTGAATCTGAAGGTACCGTTGAACTCCTCTCGCAAAGCCGCATTTAGTGACGTCCGCCTTCGTCGGAACCAGTGACTTTTCCCGACGACGACTTTTGGGTCATCTTATTCAAGGTTTGGTATGGCCGGAAACTGATTTTGAGACACAATTGCAATACTTATTAAAAGTTTGGTATTTTTTGCCAAATTGAAAAGGTCAAGTTTTATATAGAATTACACAAAATGTTAAGATTTTAAATGCAATTAACCAAACTAAAATATGTGATGATATAATGTTGAATGATAGGTAATTGTATACTAGAAATATGTGATATGATTGAGTAAACAAGTTTTTTTGTTAGGTTATCTTTAAAATGTTAGATTTTGATTAATTTTATGTCCCACATCGGATGTGTACCAAAGATGTGTAGGATCTTTTTAGTATAAATAGGTCCTTTGCCTTTGGGTTACAATTGCACCTTATTCTATTCTCTCCTATTTAGAAGGAAATCCTTAATTAAGGAAATCCTATTTTGTGGGTTATTTAACCCTAGTTGTATTTTGTTGGTGAGTTTAGTAAATTTGGCGTTGCGGTTGGCGGTGCCCGGAGACGTAGGCTATTTTCGCCGAACTCGTTATCAATTTTTGTGTTCTTCTTTTCTTCCCGTCTTTTATTTATTTGTGTTGGCTTATTTTCGTTTCGAGTAGTGTTCGCCATATTTGTTGGAGGGTATTTTTGTCCGCTGCGCTTATGGTGATACCCCAACAAGTGGTATCAGAGCCGAAGGTTCGTCCCAGGCTCATTTGGAGAGGCGAGCACTGCATTCGGGTCCGAGATGTCCAAGGAGGTCAAGGGCGCATCATCTTCTGCATTCATTCCGGCAAGGACGGTGATGCCGAACGTCAGACTCCCGGTGGAGATTTTCGACGGGACCGGTCATTTCGGCATGTGGCAAGGCGAGGTGTTGGATTGTTTATTTCAGCAAGGCGTCGACATTGCGATTGAAAAGAAGAAGCCAACACACGTTGAAGAGAAGGACTGGAAGAATATCAACCGCTTAGCATGTGGAACAATTCGTTCGTGTTTGTCGAGGGAGCAGAAGTACGCGTTCAAGAATGAGAACTCTGCTCACACTTTGTGGAAGGCTTTGGAGGATAAATTTCTGAAGAAAAGCGGCCAGAATAAGCTCCTCATGAAGAAGCGATTGTTCTGATTCGAGTATCGGCATGGCACATCACTGAATGACCACGTCACTGCATTCAATCAATTGGTTGCAGATTTGTTGAACTTGGACGTCACATTCAGCGATAAAGATTTGGCTCTTATGTTGTTATCATCACTTCCAGATGACTTCGAGCACCTAGAGACTACTCTGCTCCATGGAAAGGATGATGTAACTCTTGCAGTGGTCAGTTCTGCTCTGTATAGCTACGAGTTGAGAAAGAAGAACAAACAAGAGACGAAGAATGCAGCAGCAGAAGATGAAGCATTAGTTGCAAGAGGTCGGTCGAAGAGCCAAAAGAAGAATGGACGAGGAAGATCACGTTAAGCTTGAAAAAGACGAGTGTGCTTTCTGCCATGAGAAGGGACACTGGAAGAAAGACTGTCCTAAGTTGAAGAAGAAGGGCAAATCTCCTCAAGATGCATATGTTGCTGA